ACAGTAGCCCACTCCCTCGATGTACTCGCAGCGCCGGTAGAGGTAGTTCAACTCCACGAAGAGGGGGCCGTTCTTGTTGCCGATTCGCCTCGAGTCACGAAGGCTGTTCCGGATTGATCAGCTCGTAGAGCGGCTCCCACACAATGCCATTCAGCGCGTTCCCGGGGGGGTTGGCCCTGTTCTCAACCTCGTGCCACAACTCCCCGCCCAACGCTGCAGAGGAGGCATGGGGCTCGTCCTCTTCCTCCTGTGCCTCTGCCTGGGGCGGGGACCGGGCTCAGGGGCCGCCTCGCACGCTGCCTCAGAAACCATGGGCGGGGATGCTGCTGCCACTGGTATGTCCTGGCATGGCCAAAGGGGAGCATAATTAAGGGGTGTCTTCCTGAAACGGTGCTGATGTTGCCATGATGAAATCACCCCCTCCCCCCCAATGGAAGAGTCCTGCCCAGCCACCATCCGCGCTACGAGCTCTCGCCAGTCGTCCACCCCGGAGCCCCGCGTAGCTCTTGCAGACGCTCGCTCCGCAGCAAAACGGTTTGGGCCAGAGCCCAGGACCTTCGATGCGAGGCGCTCGGCATCTGCGTCTCCTTGGATGGCAGCCTCCAGAGAAACGACATGACAACGCACAGTCTGGGGAGGCTTAAGCAACAAATCTCCAGGAGGTGTCTCAACCCATAACCACATGCAACGCATCGAGAAAGACGCCGTGACAACGCAAGATGTAGTATGAGCAAGTCTCCAAATGTGTCACGATTCAGGTCAACATGGATTCGAGTTCATGACACAACGCAAGGCAGATTCAATGTCTCAACTCACGCGCACACTGCAACTCCGAGCCCCTGACAAAGCAATGTTCCAGTCCAGGTACGAGAGGTAGAGATCCAACCGCGTCGGATGCGCATGAGCCTGTGCAGAAAAGCGGGGTGATGACTCTCGAATCTTGTCAACAAACCTTCAAGATCATTCCAAGCGGAACTTGGAATAGTTGGACAATGAACTTGGACGTCTCGCCGGACAGAGCGCGTTGTGGACCGCTTCATGCGGCTGTATTTCGACTGGCGCTTGACAGGGTCAGGGCTGTTGGATGGCGAGGAGGAGGCTGCGGAGGTGAGGCTGGCTTTGGTGGAGGTCGTTCAGTGCTCGGAGTTGGAGTGGTTCCGTGGTCAGTCGGATCAGTGGATGACCATCAAGGCGGACGGCACGATCCAGCTGACAAGATGCTGTTCGTCCGCAAACAGGACGCGAAGATCTTCTCCAGGACCGACAAATTCGTGGGGTGCTTGTGCATCACCGGCCCCCCGAAAAAAGGAAAGGGGACGATCCTCAACACCCTTCGTCGTTTTGGTGGAGACAGCCGCGTGAACCTGTGTCACAACATGGGGGCCACGTACCTCTTCGACACCAAGGTACGGGGGGCAGAAGATTGCAAGCCTGTGCTGGCAGGGCTCGCGGGCAAGGCCGTTGGGTACTGCGACGAGTACCCGAACAAGGACATCAATCCCGAGACGGTCAAGCCGCTGATCTGTGCGAGGCCAGCGCGCGCTTTGGTGGTGCCAGGGAGAATCAGTCCACTTCGATGGACATCACGGCCACGCTTGTTGGGGCAGGGAACTATCCCATCCGGCTCCCTCCGGGGACCGTGGGGTTGGCTGACAAAATCTGGGACTTGACACCGGAGTTCATCTTTGTGAACGAGGCGAGGAGTGATGGAAGGGGGGTGTGGTCATTTCTTCGTTTTGTGTAAAAAAAACAGGCAAAGTGGCGCTCTTTAACAGCCTAGTACGCGGCAGCACGGGCCAGCCTCTAGGCCCTACAAAAGATTATGTTTTTGAGAGGGGCAATTCAGATTTCTCAGGGAGTCTTCAATTGTGGTGTCAGTTGCTCCTGTGTTCACCCCTGCAGGGCAATGAGTCGCTCCCGAACCACAAGCCCCACAATGAGAGGTACTGGCAGTCGCTGAACACCGGGGCGTTCGCGGCGGAGTACATGTGGTGGATGAGGAAATTCTTGCCCTTCATCAACGACGAGCGGATCGTCAGAGGACGCGCGTGGTGGCCACTTCCTCTCTCCATGTCAACTGCTCCCCATATGGAAGTCGAAGAGGATGAGACGGCGTGCCGTGACGTGAATGTCATCGACAACCTCTTCATGGAGGTTCCGAGGGCCCGGCAAGCCGACAACAGGCTGATCGTGCAAATGGCCCTGAGCACCATGGCGTACGTGGGCAACACGGGGCGGGGCGGGGGCGGGGCGGGGCGGGGGGGCGGGGCGGGGCGGGGCGGGCGGGGCGGGGGCGGGCGGGGGCGGGGCCGTGGAGAGCGGGCGGGTGCGGCGGGCGGGGACGGGGCGGGGCGGGGCGGGGCGGGGCGGGGTGGGGTGGGGTGGGGTGGGGTGGGGTGGGGTGGGGTGGGGTGGGGTGGGGTGGGGTGGGGTGGTGGGGTGGGGTGGTGGGTTGGGGTGGGGTGGGGTGGGGTGGGGTGGGGTGCGGGGTGGGGTGGGGTGGGGTGGGGTGGGGTGGGGGTGGGGTGGGGTGGGGTGGGGTGGGTGGGCCCAAACAGAGGTGGAACGGGGTGGACGACCCTGTGGGCCACTGCCTGGCGGGCAACTTCCTGCTGCTTACGGGCCTGCCGGGCACCGGAAAGACCATTGTGGCAAGGCTGCAAGCGGCGAGGCAGTGCACCGAGGCGGTGCACCTGGTGTCCAAGACGCTGGGGGCGCAGACGGCCGACCACTCGGTGCGCAGGTACGTGCGCGGCGGCAGCGCGCAAAAGCTGGACTGGCTGGTTGTAGAGATCACGCAGCTGGACATGGCGCTCTGGGCGGACCTGGCCTGCGTGGGGCTGAACGCCGACGTGAAGTTCCTGCTGCTGGGAGACCGTGCTGGACTCCTGGGCCGGGCATCAGCGCGCTGGAGCACAGCAGCTGACCTGGCCGGCGGGCGCAGGCACAAGCTTACGGAGAACATCCCGGCTCTTCAACTTCGTAAAGTGGCTGCGGGTCGGCGAGGAGGCGTGCTTCCACGCTGGAGCAGGCCAAGGCAAGACTGAAGAAGCTCCTATCCCTCCAAGTCGGTGGCCGGACACCACGCTGGTCATCAGCCACAGCAAGCGCATGGCCGTCAACAGCGGCGAACCGGCCCTGGCGCCGCAAACCTTAAGCTGCTTGGGACACAGGTTTATCCACATAGATTTGGGTTGTTACGAATTTATACCAACCAATGGTTGTACAGCCCGCGGAGCATAAGAGTGTGGCCGGGGCTTATTGGGGCCGGGGCAACAAGGGGGTCTTTGTGGCCGTGCGGGCCAGCCAAGCCACGCAGACCAGGGGCTCACCCTCCACAACCGCGTGGACCTGGAGTTCCACCTCACGCTGGCCACGGGCGCCTCAAGGGGTACGGAACTCCGTACAAGCAGGCGCGGCTGTGGACCAACATGCGCTGGCGCCGGCTGCGAGGCCTGCAAATGATCACAGCTTCTTCTGCCCGTTGCACAGCAGGATGTAGTCGTTGGGTCCCTCGCGGATGAGAGGCTGGTTGTAGTCGAAGTCTTGCTGGGAGGCCGCAGGCCCAGGTAGAGTAGTGCTGGCCCGCCCGGTCAGCTGCCCGTCCGCGCGCGAGAGCAGCGCGTAGGCCCCCGGTCCGCGCCGCAAGTTCAGCACGACGGCTCCATCCGCCCGTGCAAGCCCGGGCGCCGCCGTCCGCGGCCTCCGTGATCTGTTGTCGTGTCGTTGTCTCGCCCAACTTGCCATTCTTTTTTTACGGGGCCAGTTTTTTTTGCTCGGCCGCGCGTTCTCCCCGATCATACGTGCACGTATGGTCGGGGAGAATAGCTTTTTTACACGGTTGTTGTCTCCCGATTCCTATTCTCCCAGGCCACACGCGCACGTATGGCCGGGGAGATTGTTTGGCACGGTTTTGCGCCGAAAAATGCTATTACTCTAGCCCGTATATCTATATACGGACCGGAGATCTGTTGTCGTTGTCTGGCCCAACTTGCCATTCTTTTTTTACGGTCCCATTTTTTTCGGCCGCGCACGCTGGGATGCTGGGGGAGCGCCCCCTCAACCCTAAAAAAAAAAAAGGTCCCTTTTTGAGCGCTGGTGGAAGCGTCCCCCAGAGAATGCGTGGAAAAAACCACCAAAATCGCGCTTTTTTGCGGCCCGTCTTTGGTGATATGTGGCAACAAGTGACCGCCATCAAGAAATTGCCTTTAGAAGACACGTAGAACTTGCCAACCCGCGAACTTGGACAAGTTGGACAAGGAGGTTGGACAAGTTGGACAAGTCCTCTTGTAAGTGGCGGACGTGCTTTAAAACACCAACGTAACTTGTCCAACCTCCTTGTCCAAGTTAGGGGGTTGCGGGCCCGGCCGGGAGATTTGTCCAATCCACTGTTTTTCATGGAATCGGGGCTTTGCTTGGATTCATGGATTGTCTCGCTGGCATTTTTAGTGGGGAGGAGAGTAGGGGATGAACTGCTGGGGGATGGAGACCCTGGTGGGAGTGCCAGGCTCGGGGGAGTCCGTCAGACGCTGAACTTGGACAAGGAACTTGGACAAATTATTGTAAGGGGGTGAGAGGCAATCCACCACTTAAAGGGGAGACTTGTCCAACTTGTCCAAGTTCATTGTCCAACTTGTCCAAGTTCCGCTTGGAATGATCTTGAAGGTTTGTTGACAAGATTCGAGAGTCATCACCCCGCTTTTCTGCACAGGCTCATGCGCATCCGACGCGGTTGGATCTCTACCTCTCGTACCTGGACTGGAACATTGCTTTGTCAGGGGCTCGGAGTTGCAGTGTGCGCGTGAGTTGAGACATTGAATCTGCCTTGCGTTGTGTCATGAACTCGAATCCATGTTGACCTGAATCGTGACACATTTGGAGACTTGCTCATACTACATCTTGCGTTGTCACGGCGTCTTTCTCGATGCGTTGCATGTGGTTATGGGTTGAGACACCTCCTGGAGATTTGTTGCTTAAGCCTCCCCAGACTGTGCGTTGTCATGTCGTTTCTCTCGCAATGGAATGAGTTGCAGGAGGCTGCCATCCAAGGAGACGCAGATGCCGAGCGCCTCGCATCGAAGGTCCTGGGCTCTGGCACCCAAACCGTTTTGCTGCGGAGCGAGCGTCTGCAAGAGCTCATGCGGGGCTCCGGGGTGGACGACTGGCGAGAGCTCGTAGCGCGGATGGTGGCTGGGCAGGACTCTTCCATTGGGGGGGAGGGGGTGATTTCATCATGGCAACATCAGCACCGTTTCAGGAAGAGATGCCACGACATACCAGTGGCAGCAGCATCCCCGCCCATGGTTTCTGAGGCAGCGTGCGAGGCGGCCCCTGAGCCCGGTCCAGCCCCGCCCCAGGCAGAGGCACAGGAGGAAGAGAGCGAGGACGAGCCCCATTGCAGAGGAGGCAGCGTTGGGCGGGGAGTTGTGGCACGAGGTCGAGAACAGGGCCAACCCCCCCGGGAACGCGCTGAATGGCATTGTGTGGGAGCCGCTCTACGAGCTGATCAATCCGGAACAGCCTTCGTGACTCGAGGCGAATCGGCAACAAGAACGGCCCCCTCTTCGTGGAGTTGAACTACCTCTACCGGCGCTGCGAGTACATCGAGGGAGTGGGCTACTGTGTCAAGGTGGTCCTCTGGCACGTGCCTGGCCCGATGGGTCTCAGGAAGCGCGAGACCTGCCTGCGCAAGCGACCGGTTGTACACGCAGGCCAACTTCCCTTCGACGTCTTGCCGGACACCGAGCGCGTTGTGGACCGCTTCATGCGGCTGTATTTCGACTGGCGCTTGACAGGGTCAGGGCTGGCTTTGGCGGAGGTCGTTCAGTGCTCGGAGTTGGAGTGGTTCCGTGGTCAGTCGGATCAGTGGATGACCATCAAGGCGGACGGCGCGATCCAGCTGACAAGATGCTGTTCGTCCGCAAACAGGACGCGAAGATCTTCTCCAGGACCGACAAATTCGTGGGGTGCTTGTGCATCACCGGCCCCCCGGCAGGAGGAAAGGGGACGATCCTCAACACCCTTCGTCGTTTTGGTGGAGACAGCCGCGTGAACCTGTGTCACAACATGGGGGCCACGTACCTCTTCGACACCAAGGTACGGGGGGCAGAAGATTGCAAGCCTGTGCTGGCAGGGCTCGCGGGCAAGGCCGTTGGGTACTGCGACGAGTACCCGAACAAGGACTGTGCGAGGGGAGGACAGGCCAGCGCACGCTTCGGTGGTGCCAGGGAGAATCAGTCCACTTCGATAGACATCACGGCCACGCTTGTTGGGGCAGGGAACTATCCCATCCGGCTCCCTCCGGGGACCGTGGGGTTGGCTGACAAAATCTGGGACTTGACACCGGAGTTCATCTTTGTGAACGAGGCGAGGAGTGATGGAAGGGGGGTGTGGTCATTTTTTGTGTAAAAAAAAACAGGCAAAGTGGCGCTCTTTAACAGCCTAGTACGCGGCAGCACGGGCCAGAGCCGGGGCCCGCACCATGCTTGTACAAGGCACCGCCAACGGGGGCCAAATTCCCTGCATGCCGACCGCCAGACGCGCCGCATGATTGGCCACCGCAAGAGGAGACCCTCGCCATCAGCCTCCTCTGCATGGGTTCCCGTGGTCACACGACGGGTCCTATTGGGCAAACTACTGGCACCTCGGCGGGGTGCCCGACGATGCTACCCGCTGGCATCCAGCTACGCATGCCTACAGCATCGACCCGGCATACTCCGCCAACAAACGCATTGGGGCACACAGCATGCATCACCCCAGCAACCCGGTGCGGGATCACGCCCGACGCCATTGCCCGAGATGCCAAAAAAGCAACAGCGGGCCGCATTTGTCCAGCAGCTGGATGCATGCATACGCATCCCCTCGGTGCGTCTGCCCCGCACCATGCGTCGCATGGAGATGCAGGGCCGCGGACTACGCATGTTGTGTCTCGATGACAACAACCGCATCAGCTGCTGCCTGCCTTGCGCAAATTCCGCATGCCCCTATGATGAAGTTTGCGGTCAGTACGTGGTCGACACGGCCACGGACACGCATGACAGGCATCGCTGCAGCGGTTGTGTCGCGGACTCCCGCGATCTCAATCGCTGATGCCCCGCACGCATTCAATCGCATTTTGCATCGGCCCAACAGCATGGACATGCATGCATGCCGCAGCACTCCCTGCCAGGGCTCGTACAGGCATTCACCTTGCAGCACCACAGCACGCGATGGAAAAAAGTGCCTTTCATCCGGCAAGTCAGGTCAGGCCTCCAGCAAGGCCGCCCAAACCAGGGTCGCATGCTCCGACTCTCCAGGTACACCCAGACCAACTTCCGTGTCCGCATCCAGGCATCCAAGACGCCGCGTCAGGCCCCTACACACAGCAGGCGCTCAAGTGACGTTTTTTTGCATGCCATGCAATGGCATCTTTGCCAATCCCATTGCAGAGGTTCAATCATTTCCACTGACACAGGTTCCCCTCGAGCTCGCCCATGCCATGGCGCGTTCGAGACCGCTGGGGGTCTGCATGGTCAGCTAAAAGGCCACTGGAACAGGATGGCGACAGTGAGGCGCAGGAGTCTCTCGACTCTGAGCACCCCTTCTTGACGCCAACCGCAAAACCAAAGCCGGTGCCTAAATTGAGGCCCCGTCATAGCATTCAAGACTTGCATTCAAGCCCGCACGCAAGAGCCAGCAGCGCACCAGACTCGCTTGCTGCCCAGCCACGTTCCGCAGAACATGAACCAACGCTGATAACCGGTGCTCCGGTAGGCGTGCGCATGTTGACGCATCAACTCCGGCCTCCGCCTCCACTTAACCAGCCCAAAGCCCAGCCTGCACCAAGCCTCGCCCGTGGAGGCCTGCCAGTGACGCAGCCGTCACCTCTGTTCCCGTGGTTTGCTGAGCATTGCCACCCCTTGCCGCGACCACCCTGCAGGCCGCAGCCTCGCAGCATTTCCCAGGCATGCAAACCGCATTTGACATTCCGGCACGAACAAACTGATGCACCCCTCAGCCCCGGTCCCTTAGACCGCGGGCCGAGGTCCCAACCAGGAAGGTCCGTGGCCCCTCGTTTCCGACAGGCCAAACTCGGCCCGCAAGCACAGAGCCAAGCCACTCAGCGGGAAAAGTGCGTTCATGATTGGCAGGACCTGCTAGCACAGATTGGCACTTGCTCGATAACCTTTGTTGCAGCATCAGCATCACAGGACCCCCACGCGGCCTTCGACGCATCGCTCCGTGCACACACACCTTCCACCATTGCCCAGTACTTCAGGTGCGTCCGCGCCTTTTTAACCTTCATCGAGGCACTCAGTGTCAGCGTGGGAGGTTTGCTTCTCGTGCATCTAGTGGACCTCTTGCATGCTTGCGAAAGCTCGAAGACCGCAGCAGCGTGCGCATAGCGCCTCGACCCATGCTCAAAGCACTCTCATGGCTTGCCCGCATAGGTCAAATAGAATCCCTAGCATCTCTGCTCTCTAACCCGCTGGCAAGAGCCTTCGCATCCCCTCAGCAGCCTCAGGAAAGGAAGGAGGCTCTGCCTCTGCCCCTGGCAATTCTAGCATCCTGGGAGCGCAAAGTTTGTGCAGCCGACTGCACGCATAACCTGCGCATCACGCTAGGCTCCTTTCTCTTGGCAGCCCACACAAGCATGCGGTTTGGAGACATCCAGCGCATCAAAATCAAGGAGATCAGCCTTACTCAGCATGCTCTGCGAGGATCATGCTGGGCAACAAAAACTACAAAAGTAGGACAGCCATGGGCATGTACCCTGTTCGGCCTCACAGGACGAGGAGTACAATTCTTGGGTGATCAAATGGCTAGAAAGCCTTAGCGAAGCGGTCACGCAAAGCATTTCAGAGCCCTGCAACTTGCCTGAACCGGACTTCCTCATGCCCGTGTTCGCATGCATGGACGACAACACGCACCCTAAATTCTCAGGACCGCTGCCGTACACGCAGGCTTTGTCTTTGCTGCGCTGGGCGGTGCAGGTCCCTTGGGAGCCCCGCACTTCAGCATGCTTCAATTCAGATGAGGCCCAAGGGTACACACTACACAGCCTAAAAGTGGCACTCTTGAGCGCATCCGCCCAACTCCGCCTGCCAGAGGAGTCGCGACGCCAGCAAGGGCATCATCGCATTAACTCAGTGCAACTCTACAGCCGCGACGACACCATCGAGAGCCTCTGGGTGCAAGCACAAATCGCATCCGCACTCATCCGAGGCTGGCGACCCACCCGCCCGCAATCCAGGGCAGGTCAGCATCCGGTCTTCGAGCCGCTTTTCCGTGTTGACGCACAACCCATCCCAGAAAGCGTGCGTCTGCAGGACCTGCCCGCGCCTCTCCGCATGTTCACCTACACGAGAGAACAGCAAACTCAGCCCTGCGTGGCAGACCCAGAAGCATGGGCCGTGCAGGACATTCAGTCCTCAGACAGCTCCAACGCACCAGAATCAGGCGAGGAGTCCGAAGAAGCACCGCTTCAACGGTCATCATCAGCACTCTGCCTGGTTCAAGTCACTACGGGGGCAGCTGTGCGTGCAGTATACAGCTCCCCGGAGCACCTCCAAACTGCTCCAGTGCGTCGCATTGATTACTTAGGCCAAGAGTACTTGTGCAAGCGCAAGGCATGCCAGCACGCATTCTCGCTCATGCCGTAGCATAAAAGAGTTTGACCAGCGGGTGGACACAACAAGCCTCTGCAGTTGTTGCCGTTTCTCCTCCCAGGCCGTGACGCTCACAACGCGACCATTGCCAAGGTCAGCAGGCCCACACCTCAGCCGACTGCAGCCTTTTTAGCTCCTCTACCTTGACATACTTGACACACGCTTGCTTGCTGCATGCTGCCGCCAGCTAATTTCTTTGCTGATAACCAATACCTCAGCCCAATCCTCCTCTCCGGCCGCAACATGGCTGACTCAGAGGAACAAGTGACATCGGCCGATGCCATGCGCAACTTGCTGTCAAGCGCTCGGGTGCCAGACATACTTGTAGAGCATATCCTTGGCCTGGGATTCGAAGACATCGCAGATTTCGCATATGCATACGCAGATGCGTCCGATCTCAGCAAGCTTTTGGATGGCGTGCCGTCCGAAACATGGGCATCACAGATCCAGAACACTCCATACCTGCGGCACGCATTAGAAGAGCTTTTGTCATGGCCTCCTTGGCGCTGGCGCCAAAAGCATCCGGGACGCATGCAGGACAGGCGTTGCCCGGGCCGCAGGCATCACCCGCAATCGCATGGGCGGAACATCTGCCTCCCAAGCTGAGCCCGGAAGTCGTTCAGGACTTAGTAGACAAGTTCCAGAAGAACTATCCCGGCAAGCTTCTGGGCCCGGACAGCATGCCTAGCATTCGCCTGTTAAGCATGGTCTATGAAATGACCAAATTCAAGCACTTTAAGTGGATCCCGTGGCAGTTGAGACTCAGTGCGCGCCAGTACCAAGAAGCCATGGAAGCGCGTTCGCATAAAGTAGCACGCGCCGAAGCACAGCTACTGACGCATGCTTTTTTCGATGAGACTCCAGAAGTCAGCGTGGAGGGAAGGGCCCTGACAGCTAACAAGTGTTCCGCAATGCGCTGGCCCTGTGCCAAGCGGTGCACCTGCTGAACGCCAAAGCGTTAGATCAGCAAATTGCCAGCATGTGCCTCGCGCAGCCAGACCCCGCACTGTCCCTCCGCACGGTCACAACCTCGGAACTCCTGCACGCCGATCGCCAAATATGGGGCACGATTGTAGATCTCCTGCGTTGCAAATGGTCTATGGACGACGCCTTCCACGAGCTGACGCATGGCCGCATGGAGATTCATTCGCTCCTAATGCTGCGGCCTAAGATCGCCAAAGGCCTCACGTGGTGTGGGTGGCGCATAAACTTCCTGCATGAGACCATCGAACTCACGCCTGAAAAAACCTTAAAATTAAAAGGGCAGCTGCACGAGCTGCTCAAAGCGGGGAAGGTCAAGCGAAAACTTTTGGAGCAGGTTCTAGGCCTTCTCATTTGGGCGACAAGTCTGAGCCCCGAACTCAGGTCCTGGCTGGCACCTTTGTATACAGACTTGCGTTCGCCGCCAGGTTGCATGATCTCTGTCCATGCGCGCTTGTGGCCATCCTTCCTTTCAGCATTAGACACCAAAGCCGTGCTCCGGTCAGCAGTGCACGGCATCTTCATGCCACCAGGCTCTAAAATTCTAGAGTTCCAAGGGGCGTGCATTCGCACGCCAGCTGACCTGCCTCACAAATCCACCTGGGTGCGCGTCGCGGACGCATCAGCAGAGCACACTCGCCTGTCCAAGATGAGCAAACATGGCGTAGAATGGTTGCTGCAATGCTTCCACTTGGACCTCGCATGCCCGCTAAGAAGCAAGCCAATGCTGGCATGCAAGGCAGCCGCAGATGCCTGCGCCGAAGGCAATGTCGTGGGCATAGGGGGTTGGTTCATCACCAGCAGCTCCATCTCTTGGTTCGCAGAAACTTGGCAATTCCAGGAAGTCCAAGAGCAGTGGCCGTGCCTCACCAAGGAAGCCCAGCGCTACATCGCATGCTTCGAAACCCTGGCTCAACTCGCACTCATGCGTATCGCATGGTCCTGCGAGGGACAAAGCGTGCGTGGCATTTGCATGCCCACAGGGACAGATAACACGGCGTCCGAGGCAGGTGTCAATAAACGGTTCACCACAGCATGGCCCTTGCAAGTCTTTGTGCAGCTTGTAGCCGCCTGGGCACATAAACACAAGTGGTCCGTGATCGCATCACACATCCCCGGAGAGCATAACATCTGGGCGGACCAACTCAGCAGAGGTAATACCTCCGCTTTCCAGAGTCGGCCGCATGCCAGAGTGCGCTTCAGGCCGCATTTCTGGCCTCACGCATCAGCTCTCACGCTTCACCCTGCGGACGCACCGTGGAGACCCGAGCACGTGATTGCATCGCAAACGCACTAAAGAGGGGGTGAGGTGATTTGACCGTTTGCTTAAAACCCCAAAAGTGGGGGCATTCCGACAGGCTCCGCATGAGATGCAGGAAGATGGAGTGGACGCGCATCGTCACTCCACCTGCATCTCAGAGCCTGCACTTCTAAGCAACGCTCAAGTAAAAAAGCGGCGTGTCGAGTTTGCTTCGGTCGGACGCTTTTTTCCCTGCATGTCCCTGTAGGCTTGAAGCAGTGATCAAGATTCTAACGCTAGGGGTTTTTCTTTTCCCCTGTGTTTTAATCTTGGTTGAATCTTCGGCCGCGTGGCTGTTTCTGCTTCAAGCCTTTTAGTAAGGGACTTGCCTTGAGGGTCTGACCCCTCTTTCGTTCTTTTTTGAACCCACCCTCCCACCCTTTCACGGCCCAGGTGGAAACCAGCTTCCGCAAGGCCTGATTGCTGGGTTGCTGAACACGCATGGTTGCGATCTTTCCCGCTTCCAACATTTTGTCGGCTTACTGCATCTCGCAGGACCCGCTTAGCCTCTGCAAGAGGCCTGATAGCGGATTGCTGAACACGCATTGTCGGCAAGCTTTCTAGCATCAAGCATGGTGTCGGCTTACTGATCCCGCAGGACCAGTTCAAGCCTATGCAGTGAGGACGCAATCCTCGTTGACCACACCAGCTTGAACCCATGATGTGCACGCAGTCGCACATCGCTGAATGCCATCGGCATTCTTTCGGACCAGCTGGGTCCCCTTCAGGAGGACGCATTCCTCCCATGCACACCTATGCACGCATTGCATGCCGCTGTGCAAAATACCTCCTGCTTGTCTCACACCCCGTGGGTAAAACACCCTATGTGATGGTCGAACACGCAATGTTGACCACAGGGGGGCATTCCGACAGGCTCCGCATGAGATGCAGGAAGATGGAGTCGACGCGCATCGTCACTCCACCTGCATCTCAGAGCCTGCACTTCTAAGCAACGCTCAAGTAAAAAAGCGGCGTGTCGAGTTTGCTTCGGTCGGACGCTTTTTTCCCTGCATGTCCCTGTAGGCTTGAAGCAGTGATCAAGATTCTAACCTCAGGGAGCTTCGGATTTTCTGGGCGGGCAGAGACATCAAACCTGCCACTCTGGTTGCGGCCCATCATGGACATTTTGGCCTCGTTAAAGGAAGATCCGGAGTCGGCATTCGCTTGCAGGAGGCTGCATTTCGAGAAGAGTGGAAGAAGGAGTGCCCTGACAAACCATTTCCGGAGCGATTCGATTTTGCAATTCGTTTTCGGCTGCTCGTGAGTTCCATCTCAAGCGCGCCATCCAGAAATTGCGGATTTTCTCCAGAAGGCGGGTATCAAAGGCCGACCTCTCAGGAAAACGGGACAGATATGGATCATTGCTGCCGCCCAAGACATCAAAGATACATGTGTGTCTCTCAATGGCAAGCCAGTTGTTTTTGAGAGAATCCAGGATGAAGTTGCTCCTCATCAGCCGATTGTTGCTTGCGCCCAACGCCCATCGCTGCGACAAGTTGCTTCAGGGGAAGACATCCTTCAGATCAACGACCCGTGGAAGCCGAAACCAAGCTTGGCCCCAAGCGCTAGTGTAGATCTCGGCCATCCACAATCAAAGCAGGTGCAGCAGACATGTCGAGATGTCAAGGCCCTTCAGACTGGTTTTCAGGCCATACAGGAGACAATCCAATCCCTGCAGACCAAAGCCACTGTTCAGGAACGGTCCACTGAGCAACTTCGGACGGATTTGCGCCGGACTCAAAGTGCTTTTGATGAAACTCTCCGCCAGGCTCTTGCAGACCAGTCGCAATCGCTCATGCTGTCCATCAAAGAGATGCTCAAACCTGATGGTCAGGACCAACCCGCCAGGCCTCCAAAAACCCGCAGACGGGAATTTGAGGTTTCAGAAGAAATCATGGAGGACTAGCTTCATCGTCCCGGGCAGGATGTTTACTGACCTTTGTAGGGTATGGACCAAATCAGGTCCTGGGCTCATTACAATCGTCGGTATTCACACCTGTCTTTTTGGGATTTTTACTACCAGTTTCCAATCTGCTGGTATTTCATGTTACCACTTACTGCATTCCTTTTTGATGACCTGGAACTCTTCATTGCTCCATTCTTGGTGTAGTGTTTGGAGAACCGGCTCGGAGAATACATCATCTGCTTTCCATGAAAGGGGTCGTGGACGAGCACCAATCTATATCATTGTTCAGTATCTGCATGGTACCCCTCGGGGTCATGAAGTGTACGTACAAACCCTTGGCGTGAATTCACACTACTTCAGTGATCAGTCGTTCAACTCTTTGACTGGATGCCGAATCGGAGAAGCCAGCAATCCTGGCCCCAATCAACCGGTTACTGCGTGCCAGACTTTCAATGTAAATTTCATCAATGTTACCAAACTCCGGAAGCATTCTGACGAAGTCATGAATCTGCACAAGCAGTATCCGGGGATTACAATGCTCGCAGAGACCTTTGCTGATGAGAATGCAATTGCATACTTTCAACGTGCTGCTGCCAGGAAGCGTTTGTCCTTCTTTTCTGGGGCCCCGTGTGGTACACGGCTCAATTGCGGACAAGGTCGCCCACTTTTTTGACGACCCAACGTTCACGCATGCCGTCGGCTCAGCTCGACTGGGAAGGTTTCTGCTCCACACGATATTTGGAGACAGTTACGCATGTTGCAATGCACATGGAGGGGACTGAGTCTCCGGCCATACAGGCAATTAGAGAACATGTGACCCTTGGGGGCACCAAACTGGTACTTCACAAGGCCACGTAATCTGGCCCCCTTGGGTAGCGCTGTAACAAAGGACCCACCTTGGCACATGGCTTGCCAACGTATGGACTGCAGGTTCTGAGGACATTCCCTTTCCTGCTGCTTGGGACCGGCTCAGAGATCCGGTTTTTTGGCGCCGTCACTTGACTGTAGCCTTGGCTGAGCAAGCTCGCGATGGACTGGGGACGGTGGCATCCAAAAACATGCGAGGGACTGGGTCAGAAGCTCCTGCAGGGGCTGAAACTCCTGCCCCTGGGGCAACGCAGTAACATCTCTGTTGTCATGGACCCATGCCATCAGTAACTCCTCCAAATACCCTCTGCGAAGTCTTGAGTATGCCATGCTGACCAATCGCCACATGGGGAGTAAAATCAACGCCATAGGCCAGTCGAGGGGTAGCTCCGCCGCGTCCTTCCACGTTGCCTTACCTGACAAAGCTATGTGCGCCGTGCGTCGGCGCGTGGCAGCGTCCGTCTCCTCCAGGTATTGCGCCGCATCGAACCCGAAAGCCGTGAGATCTCGTACGTCCGGTGAAAGTCAGGACGAACGAAGTTGTCGAGGTCTTCATGCCGGTGCGCGTATTGCTACGAGGCATTCCACAGCTGCCTGAGGTTCCTGCTGCTCGGGAAGGTTTCCGGGACAAGGTCAAGGCCGGGGTCAGTTTATGCTACCTCGATGGCAAGGCTGTGTTGCCTGTTGCACGCATACCTGCGGATGCATTGCCCTTTACCACTGCGGCTTGGCAATGCAACCTGCTGCCACAGCGGGCCATCTTCTCTGCTATTGTGCCGGACCTCACGGAGGCGGCTCAGTTCAAGGTCCAGCTTCCGGTGTGCACCAGTAATGCTGAGAGCAGCAAGGATTCCCTGCGTGAGAGCTTTGCACGCGCCCTGCGGCAGCAGAGGCCTGACTGGCCGGTATCCCTGCATCAAGTCACACAGAAGTTGCAGTATGTTGAAGAAGCTGTTGACCCTGTCATTGAGGAGTTCGCGGACCTTGTGGTTGCTGCCCAGCCTGGGACAAGGCTGCTGGATTTTTTCTATAAGGAGGTGCGCGAGTATGGCTGCACGTGCTTGCGGCAGGTGCCGCCGGGCTTTATGACCTCCCGACATGATGGGCAAAGAATCGGCCAGCAGAAAGGGGCCTGGAACACTTGGGATGCCAGTGCGAACATGTCATGGCGAAAGTACTATGACCGGGTTGCGACATGGCGGGTTGATCATGCTCATGTCCGTGCACGGGCGCTTGCGGAAAGAGACTACCAGCTCTGTGATCGCGAAGAGTGGATTGCGATGTCTCGTGTGTTTGCGAATCGTACGGTGCCTCCTGCCCCGGACCTTTTCTTTGGCTCGCTAACGAGTCAGCCTGCCTCGTCCAATGTGGGTTCGGGCGTCAGAGACCTGGGCAGCCCTCATCAGGCAGATCTGCCGGTCTTGCTGGACAGCAGCTCGGATGGAGATGAAACATCGTCCTCCACGCCTTCGACCCCTCCCATCACTGATGTTGCCGGTCAACAGCGGATTATGGAGACTGCTGAATGTTCACCCAAGCATGCCAAACGGACAGATCCGTCGTGCAGCGGTTGCCGCTGTGGCTGCGGCTGTTGCGGCTGTTGCGGCTGTGGCTGCTGCCGCTGGTCCGCCGGAAGCTGTGCAGGCGCAGCGCGCGGGTTTGCAATTGGAAGGAGCTCGGGTTGGCAGGGCAGCAGGAATGGGTGTGGGCCTCGGCTGCAAACCCATCCGAGCTGAGCGGACGCCATGTCAATGGCGAGGGCTCTTGGGCCATACTCTGCACACTCGGTTGGTTCTGGGATGCCGTGCAAACAAAGCGTTGTCCTCCGCGAGAGTGGCATTGCAACGGATACAAATCGGGGCGCCACCGATCCCTAACGGAGTTGCGAATCGGCATGTGGCAGCAGAAGGGCATAAATCGGGCATGAATTTTCGGACCTGAATCAGGGGTGCAAATCGGCGGACAGATTTTTTCAACCGGAAAGACACCAAGCACCCAGGAGCAATCTGAATTGTTTATTGTTTCCTCCATTAGCACTTTCCATTGAAAACAGCAAGCCGAAACGGCCGACAAGCAACCAGTTTGTGTGTAAGTGGACATGTTCTGACTTGTGCCCCAGGACATTAGAGCCCACATGCAAGCGTCGCAGACTTAAGAAGAGATCCAGGATCACGTGATCGCTCCCTGTCAAGCTGGAGAGTGCTAGTAATTCCGGTGGCCAAGCTCAGCAGGCCCATGCTTGCCCCCGTGACACTCAGCGCCGGTGGACAACAGCGTGGCTCCGGTGACGGACTGTTCGGTGGGCGTTTCACCTCTTGCATGCCTTTTTCTGTGGGAGCGCAGCCTACGCGCTTTGTTGCATGGTGCCAGCGCAAAGTCGCCCTTTTGCCAGAGCTTGTGGCTGCTTTGTACTTTCTTTGTGACCTTTCGGTCCGGACCTTTGGTTGCTTGGTTGCTGCTCTCTTTTGTGTTTAGGGTGTGTGTTTGCCGTTTTTCTTGTTTGGTTTGTTTGAGCCCCTTTTCTTTGACCGTCGTTATCGACAGTGGCCGCGAGGTAAACACATCGGATGGAAATGGTCAATGCTTTGTGGCGGTCAATTTTTGGGTAGGCCTTCCAAACAGGTGGGGTGGTCAGCCCGGTCGTCGCGTTAGCAATCGGGATGGTCGGGGCTGATGGGATCGTTCGGAATGGGATGATCAGCGGTCGTGAGAATTGGTCGGAGTGGGGAAGTCGCCGGCACTCATTCTCTATTTCTAAAGCACGACCTGCGCCAGAAATGAAGGGGCTTTCAAAGTTGGCGAACACTGCATCCGGAGTCAGGCGTGTGTGTCCTGAGGCGCAACACAACTCGGGCAAGAAGGGGCTTATCCAAACAGTTTGTATGTCCAACATTTTTTGCGTGCACTGCACGTTCCAACACATATTGGCCAAAACTGTTTTTCAGTTGCCAGAACAATTTCAGGTAACCCTTAATTGGTGGTTTGGCTTGGTGCTTCAGCGATTTGAACCCATGGTTGTTTTGGAGGGTCAATGGGAAGCTACCATACGCTACCCGTAACTTTCAACCCACCAATCAACGCCACCAATTGGAAGGACGCTGACAATTGACCTTTCAGGGAGCATGCTTATATGAGTTTGATGGGAATGTCGCTCAAGGCTTGGTGGATTGTATTTGGTTTTAAGTGACAGCCAAAAAAAACAAGACCTGGGCACGATTTCTCCTCCGAACATTGCAAGTAGCAAGCAGGATGCACAGCCCATGCAACAAATGATATTATCCAATCAACATTTTGTACCATCCAAAACATGTGTATTGGCTGCCCGCCGGTCTGAACCGCTAGCCATGGGCCGCCCAGCCTCCCTTTTGCTCTCCGGCGTTGCCTGGGACTACACCAAAGACGAGGGGCGGCGTAGGATCAGCACCGCAGAGGTGGATGTCAGCTCCTCGCGGCCGCGCATCTTGCCGCAGAGCCTGGGTGGCCGTCCCTGGACGAGTCTGAGGGAGAACCGAAGGCATGTCTTCCAGTTCGACTACTGCCCTACGCATACTGCGCGGGTGGATGCCTCTCGACGTGCCCCAAAACGGGAGGATCGGCTGGAGCGGGCAGGCTCCTGCAGTGGCCGCTTCCAAAGGTCTGCTGGTTGCATCACCTCTTCGAATGGCTTCAAGATGAACTACTCTGTCCCGCAACTCGAGGAGCGGAGCCTTTTGGGCGCTGGGTGGACCCGCTCTAGCGGCTCCAAAGGCGCCCTCAAGAAAGGCCCTAGCCTCAGCATGAAGAGTTGGCAACTCCGGGCAAGGCAGGTCCCTTGAGGCGAGTCAATGCAAGCATTCCTGCTTTGCTCTGAGCTGATGCATTCAGGGCCAGGGCCAGAGCCAGTGCGGCGTAATGGATGGCTGCGAAACTCAATGGAAAGTTCAGAGGCTCGGTGACACAATGAAGGATTACTTATTTCAGGCTTGATTGGGGGGGGGTTGCATGCTTTGCTAAGCGTGTGGGATGTTTGGTTCACATCGGGCTCAGTTCTTTGGATGTAGATCTTTGATGTCCCGTGTATTTGTTCAGGAACCAATGTCGCCCATCAGCCGGTTCAGCTTCAGCAAACGATTGCCATAGTGGCAATTTTTAGCAGGTCCCATCACACCAGACCAATTTAGTCCAAGTCAGTCAATGAAGCCCCGACGGTACTTGGTGCGTTCCATTGAACCAAACCCTGAGAGTGAACCTGAACTCGAAATTGAAACGAGGCGAGTCAATGCAATAATCGCAACTCTCATTTGGACAACTCCAAAACATCTTCTTCGAAACGTCTTAGGATGCTGAGGGCCTAGATATCCGACCATATCCAGCAGATTTGCCTTGCTTGGCAGAGCATCCGCAGGCCTCTGAGCTTGGTGAAGCCATGCGGGCAGGGTAGCCCGGGTAGGGAGGAAGTCATTTTATGCAAGTCTCCTGTTTTCTCTATGCACTATGTGCGTGTTTATTCGGGGTTCCCCCACATTTCTATGGGAACATGGGAGACGTTGCAGTGTGAGACTGGGGGCTTTTGATTAGACATGTGCTGTGAAGGCTGTGAGCATGCCAATCACAGACACTCAACTCCTGAGGAGTCTTCAATCAATTTCTTGGTCAGAGTGCGTGCAGGTCAAGATGGCATAGGAATGTAATGCATCCAGAAACGTTGTTGGAGGGTCAATGACAATGCACCAGCAGTCCTCACGCTTGCCTTATTGTTGCACTTTGGTAGCTGGCTTGGCCCGGTTTGGCAGGCAACAGGTCTTGTTGGTAGGGAAGGTTGCAGGGCTGCCCCTGGATGCCGAGGCTCTTTTTAGTGCCTACGACTTCAAAGAAGATGGCCGCATCGACCTGGAGGAGTATGCGACTCTGACATCAAAGTGAATGTCTGGGTTTGGATGTGGCGCCTGCTTTCCGGCATGCCTTTGATCTGTTTTTCTCTGCCGCCTTAATATGGTGTATGTTTTTGGTTTATGCTTTTGGTTTGTGCAAGACAGGGCTAGCGGGAGCTAGATGAGACAGCATGCGTGCGCATGATTGAATCAGAATGGTCGGTACAGACTTTTTTCTTCATTTTCTGCGTGACCAAGTTGCCAGCATCAGTATCGTTTGCCATTCGTTACTTTTCGTTCGTTCTTGGTTTGGCACACAACTGCATGATGTTGACCTAACACATTATGTTGGGAAACGCCATTGCGTATTTGGTGCATGGCATGGCCGAAAGCTGCAACATGAGACTTGCCTCGTTTTGCCATTGCTGAGCGTTTCGTTTTGGCAAGGGATACACGAGTGGAGAGCCGGGAGTCTGTCAATAGCGGGATACCATGCAGTGAGTCGGCTTGGCCACCGATTCGCTCGACTGAATCATAGATCTAAGTCTTAGAGCGCAAATTCCCCGCAGTTGCTCTCAGTGGTCCAAGGTGCAGGGCCAGCAAATCATTGCTGATGTCCTCGGAGTCTGGGCCTTGGCAAAAATCAGAGGTTACGGTCGGAAGAGGTCTTACTTCTTGCGGCACTTGGACAGTCCAAGCGGGCGTCGGGGGTTTGCCTCAAACATGATTTATTTGAATGCCGAGTTGCTCCGGGCAACTGGGTGAAGTTACACTGCAATGTTTCTCGGCATGTTGCATGGCAATTCGAATTGTGACCCTCTTTGGGGACCCTCAATTGCCCGTTCAAGGGCGACCGAAAAGAAACCTCCATTGTTGATCGCTCATTTGATTTGCTTGCCGCATGGATGCAGGAGAGCTTTGAGCGTGACACAGCGACCCAGTACTTCTATGCCATGGAGAATTCCAAGCCTATTTGGCGAGTTTCCTGCGGAAAGACGCCCTGAAAACTGCGATTTACGGAGCTTGACATTCGGACATAGCCCACCAAAGAACAAAGGACAAGATCCTCACGCTCAGATGTCCCCGCACACCTGTCCAAAATCAACCTTTCACAAAAGGCACATCGGAGTGTATGGGTAAGGCAAGCACTGGATATCCGTGTTTTTTGTTTCGAGCTTTTGCAGTCCGGCCTTCCCACCGAACCGAGGGGGTCTCCTTCGCTTGGCCAGGCTTGGAAAGGTCTCCTTCGTGGCCTTCTTCCGCGGGGAGCTGCGTCGGTTGCAGGAGCAAGTGATCTCCGGTCAGCCTGAGGTCTGTGGCCGGGTGGGATGCGGCTCTGCACATGTTTCGTTGGTTCAAACGTGAATGCATTTCCTGTTTGGAGTGTCTCCAAGGCATGCCGGTTTGCGACCCACCTTCAGTCGGATCGAATTCGCACGATTGAAGCATTTGCCAGTGTGAAGCAAGAATAGAAGCGAATCGACTTTGTATCAGAAATCGTTTTCGTGTTTGGACAACGTGCGAAAACATCCTGAAATCCAGGCCTACCTCAATCAGCCCAAAACCACCTGACCCAGTCCGGCCTAAACGCACCAGGTAGAATCCAACTTTGCTTGGACGGCCTTCTGAAATTGATGTTAAGCAACAAGCCATGCAACCAAAGAACTCACGTGTTGATGTTGCATGCTAGTTTCGTTGAAGCCCTGACATGGTGTGCCGAAGATAAGAGCGCTTGCACTCTACTTGAGGAGCAGTCAGAGCTGGGACTTGGCTGCTGCCTCGAATGTGCCGAATGTGAGAGCGTGCAACGCCATCAGATGTGTATGTCGTGAGGGTGCAACATGTGCAAAGGTCCTGGGCGGGAAGAGTGGCCACAGAAAGTGGCTTGGCTTGCCGCCGACTGAGATTGGATGAAGTATTTTTGGAGCAGTGTTCCGTTGCAAGACCTTGCTTGGGCCGTTTCGAAAAGGAGAATCGTCAAACGAAAGCTAGCTTTAGCTAGCTGAAGTTTCCCCTTGCGTAAGCAAGGTAAGGGCCTGAAATGCCGAAAGATTAATTTTATCACTTATTTGAGCCAAAACGATTGCAAGAATCAGTTATTTAGTCCCCCCCCCCCCGGGCTCGAATCCCCCCTGGACCCCCCTCAAGCGTTGACCAGGGCATCCGTCCCAATGTGGTCTCTTCTCAGGAAAGCACCTTGCAGGAAGCCGTGTGCAAGCAACATGCAGAGCCCAGGGGTGTGTTAAGACGGCTTGAGAGATCTTTACGGCGTGTCTTGTGGTGCGCAAGCCACCTATGGAATCTATTCTGTTTCCGACGCGTCTCATACAACAGTTGCTAGCTTTCGTTAACCCCCTCCTCAAGCTGGCAAGGACTCACGCCGACACTCAATGATAGTAGCATTACCGCTGAGTTTTACCTTGAGCAGCTGGCCCAGGCTCAACAAATCACGCTTGGGCAGCAAAGGCTGCGCTTAAAGGCGTGTGCTGGGGCTTGTGCTGCACGCTTGGGCTTGGAGCGGTTTCTGACAGAGAGTGACGCGCGCCATTGGGCGAGCTTCAGCCCTGCTGTGCATTCCCCAGCCTTCTCCACGACTCCATACATACTTGTATTCTGAAGTAGCACACGGCTTTGCCGGTAGCTGTGCACCTCTTGGTTAATGAGCATTTAGTTGCCGAGCACTTGTTTGACCGTTGCATATCCAACGACTGGGCCATGTGATACTTTAGGTTTTGGCAATGCAAGTCGAGCCCTCCAGATACTTTGTTTGAGGAGCGTCCTAGAAAATGCCAAGATGGATCCGCATATCCGCGGCAAGAAAACCTGTTACTATGCGTTCGTGAAGGCTTCAATGTCTTGAAGACATGGTCTCTATTTCCAGTCAGTCCTTTTTTTCGGAGACTTGGAGACCTGCCATTGATTCTTAGTGCAGCCTTGAGCTGGGGCAGCTTGCCAGGGAGTGCCCAGCTTAGTGCCGTCGATTTTGTGGGCCAAGTCGTGCGCAAGTGGACAGCGGGACTCCTCGAGGCGGCAGCCTGACACAGCTCGCCTCCGTGCGGGGACTTGGCATTGCATGAGGTGTGGCTTCGCGTTGGAAGAGACACTTGGCGCAGTTGAGGTGAGCTTCGGATGAAGCGGCAGGGCGAGTTGATGCTTCAGATGGCGCATCAAGACATGACACTGCCGGCAGGGGCTGTGGAGTCCGTTCAATGGATTTGACTGCTGCCAAGGCTGGAGGGTCGCCTCATTCTGCGAGGCGTCGTGTCCAACTTGGGCCCTGGAGCCAAGTCTAGGTGTTGCTTGCTGGGTCATGTTGCTTCCAAGCAATCTGAAGAAGGTGGGATTGAATGCCATGCTTGCGTTGCAGGGCTGCCAGGTCGTGCACATCATTGAGTCACTTGAATAACACCGCAGATGTTTCGGCACAGGGCGCGTTGCGCCCAGGTGGCCGTATCAAATAATGAGCCTTGGCTTCAAGATTTGTGCATGACGACCGTTGGATGTCACCGCTTCCATGTGCACTCTGCAGCAGTTTGTGGCATGCTTTCGTTGTGTGAATTTTAGCTCATCAAAGAAGGAAGCGGGTGCTGCGCGGCCTTACGCTGTGGTGTGCGCCAGTGGTGGCTTGCCGCAAAGTCGACTGGCACTTCGAGGGACTTGTGATTCGCCGGGGATGCATATGAAACCTTTGTGTTGGGTTGACAGTGGAACAAATGACGTTTGGCCCATGCATGAAGTTTATTCAGTTGCTTCGAAGGTCAGACCCTGCGGCCAAGGCAGTTAGCCTCAAGACGCGCAGTCAGCCCTCGCCCTGCCCGGACGAGATCGATGCCTGGTGCACACAGCCGTGGCGGGACTTGGGCGCCTACATGGAGGTGCCAGCGCAGCGCGTGCAATTCCGGGTCTCAGACTCCTTGAAGGGCAAAGCTAACCCTTGAATGAATTTGGGCGCTGCACGCTGTTTCCCTTTTGTTGTTGCGGCTGATGTGCAAACATGCAGGAAAGGCATGTTGCAATTTTCGTTGACTCTAAAGTTCACCGTGCTTTGTACTTGATAATGATGCTCTATTTGGACGTGTGACAACCACATTCATGGATGTGGTGCCTACCCAAATATGCGGCATCTCTGCAGGAAGACTGCAACCATGATGGCGTCATCGATCGCATTTGCGACACCAACGGCCTAGACGTCCAAAGCGACTATGCGGCTGAGACCAACATTTTGAAAACATCGTTGAGTTCACTAGTTCAGTGATGCTTTGTGACACAACGCACACGCACATGCTTCTGACATGAACATAGATGCTTCTGACATGATCATGTCATGAGCAAAATTTGTCGGACTTCTAGACGGCTCGTCTTCTGCGCGTTACCGCTTGCCGGGCCCTATGCTGCTTTGCTGCTACCAGCAAGGTCAACAAGCGGTGGATCAAGCTGAGTGGTGACTGCGACCGCTACAACAACATTTCAGCGGGCGACTCCCCGAGCTGCGAGGCGTAACCTTGCATGAGTGGGTGCAAGGCTGTGGAATGTGCGATGTTTGGATTGGCTGGCAGTTGAAACCATTCAGTGAACCTTGGCAAAGTCACATGGTGAGATGTCGGTCAGACCTTGCAAGACGTGATCTAGGCGTGGTGAGTTGATGTTGCCAGACAGTCTGGCAGGTGCTTAAGGAAAAGTTCGCCCAGTTGACCGCGGCCAAGGCCTGGAGTGATTTGAAGGGCTTGGCTTGTGCGGGTGAGCAGGGTGATCTAGACACTGAGACATACGCACGCAGATGCAGGCACACACATAAAAGCGCAAAGAGATACGCAGAAACAAAACAACTCGGATACCGTAGATGCAAAACTCAGGCACACAGACACAGACACAAACGAAGACGCAGACGCAGTTCAAAGCGGATTCAGTTGTCCACATCCATGCCGATGCATACACAGATTCACGCAAACACGCAGCGGCACGTCCATGGAACCATGCAGACGCAGCAGCGCTTGCAGACGCATGTGGGCACACACACAGACCCACACCCACACGCAAGGCAGCACAAACATATGAAACAGTCACACCAAAAAACGCACACACACACACACACGGAGATAACGACTCTAGCCTGCACATAAATACACATTGCACATGACGCAGATACACAGATACAGATATAGAGGGAGAAAGAGAGCGAGAGGAGACAGAGACACAGCTACAAACATACCAACACACACACACAGACCTACCTGCATGGACCGCGGACACACACAACCATCACATTTGTAATGACTACTTGGGTGTTCTCTTGGGCGCAAATTGCATTTGGCACATTGTGACCCCCCCTTCGAAGGATTGGGTTGTGAGTGCCTGCCAGGAAGCCGCCTCGAAGTCTGCCGCAGTCAGAGAGAGGCGCGGTTGCGCAAGGCTATTGCACAAGGCATCGGAACGCGGTTTCCAAAGTGAATCCACATCGCCAATCACATTCAGCCGTGGGAGCAATTCGTAAGGTATACATGCTCGAGAAACTACTCGTGACCTTTCACGTGCGCAAGGCGTTTGCACAGCATCCATGCTGCCTTTAATGTCTAAGCTGTTGCGCTTGCGAGTCACGCACTTGTTTTTGTATTGTTTATACCGTTTGTCACTTTGAGTATTCTGGATGGCTAGTTGCAGACATGCACAATTTCATACCTTCACCAACAAAATGCCATATTCAATGTCGCACAAAAAAGCGCTCATTACTACAAACCACTAAAGTTTGTCTTAAATTCACATGCCTTGTACATGGCATGGCGTGCCACACGGTAAAGCGCTTCAAGCTCCAACAGGACCCCGGAGGAGGCGGTGGCCGCCGCCGGAGCCGAGGCTGCGGCCGCTGCGAAGAGCGCAGGACTCTTCGGTCTGTGTCGGAACTGGCTGCGGTTGTCAAAACCGTTTTGGGACCCCATTTTGGTTGGTTGGTGAATTCACCACCCAGTTTAGGACCTATTTAAGTGGGGATTGGGATGTTCACTGGGGGTACGATTTGGCTTTTGACATGGCCAACTCAGAATGGAAGTGCGAGTGCATGGCATTGATCGGAGATACATAGGAAGCGCCATTGATCACATATCAAGCGCCATGGATAGTGTGTTCTGCGCGAGGCGAGACCACCATTCACGTCATTGATGCTGCTTACCAGGCGCAAGTGCAAGTAGATAGTTTTCGTTGTTGCGTTCGACTGCTGCAACTTTGTGAGCATATTTGGGAGGGCAGCTCGGAGCTGATTGATCGTGAGTTGATAACTTCATGAACATCCTCCTGCCTGGTTCGCTTCCAAGCACTTCACACCAATTGTGACTTCCTGTGTTTCTTCCGCATGCAGACATGTCAGACTTTTGAGTTCTGAGTTCAGATCAAAGCCCAACGTAGCGAAGCAATGCACCTGACGAGCTCTCGGTGACTCAGGCAGCGCTGGCGGCAGCCCAGGAGGCCAAGCTGAGCAATGCAGACGCCTTGGCCTCCGAGGCCGCGGCCGAGGCCGCGGAGAAGTTGGCAAAGGTGCCCCGGTGAATTTCAGGGTTGGGTGGGTGGGGGGTTTGTCGTTTTTGATACTCTTCTTGGGTTGGTTTAAAGGGAAACCAACAGGACAACTACCATCTGTTGGGGTCTCCCATTTTTAGACACGCCCATTTGGTGAAGGACGACTACTAGTAGCAGGCAGTTTGCAGTGGTAGGCACTCATTGTACAATGGCTGTACGGCATGGGGTCGAGCCGGTACAGGAGGGGAATCAAGAAGGAGCCAACTGTTCTTTTGCAAAAGACTGGGCACCCCAGATTCAAAGGCCCCACCTTCCAGCTAAATTCGGGGTGATAAGACCAGCGGCTAAGTGATGCAGATGTGCGGTTTCGTGATGTTTGGTGCAGGCCCTTCTCGTCTCAAGCCACTTTATTGTGTGTTACATAGTTGTTTTGATCCAAACTGCTTTTACAGTATCCCAAGAAGTTGACGGCAGCGCTATGCCACAAAAGCCGCATAAGCTCCTGTTGTGTTTCTTCTCATTTGCTGATGGAGCAATAATTTGGCTACAAGCTCTAGCCCAAACATGCAACACAGAAATATGTCATGTATGCAAGGTAGAGCTGGTGCCATACTGAGGCTACCAACGCCACCAACGCCGCCAACGTCACCAAAACATCCTCGTCATCAACAACCACCACAACAACATCCACATCCACGTCCACTGCTCGCAGCAATCTGGAGAAGTGCATCTCAGTTCCTTAATCGCATTCCGTGTATGTCAGATGAAAATATTACTTTAAGACAAGGCAAGGTAAACAAGTCATCAGGAATCATGTTGGTTCGGAGCGAGGATCTACTTTCCAGATACTTGTTCCTTGGCACCTCAAGAGTGGGCTAGCACGGAGTCTACATGGACCGTATTTGTGGACAGCATTCCAGTCTCAATTGTTTTTAACTTCCAGAAAATGACAGCCTGTCAATGATAAGACAAGAACCGTGTGAACTGCTTTTTTGCCTGACAAGGCCGGCGTCACCATTTGCCCAATCAACGCAGCACCCTGGCCTGTGTCGTGGGCACAAGGGCCTGGAGGGAAGTGAGTGCAGGTACGACGAGAGGCTACGGGCCGAGCAGATCCATCAAGTCATTTGTGAGTTGGTCGATCACAAGACTCGTCAACGGCTGGATGCCCCACTGGCTATATTCCGCGAAGAATTTGACCGCCGCGTCTAGGGCATCTCTGGTTCATTGTTTTTTTGGTCCTGGACTCAGGTCTTTCTTCCCAGGGAGAACTGCCCGGGCAAGACGGTGGAGTCCTGCACCAAGTCCGCCTGCTGTGCCGAGAAGGCCACGGGCCGGAGAGTGGAAGCTGTGTGCTCGTGGTTTGCATTCTTTTTGAGGGCACCCTTTTGTCAGAGGGAAGCCAAAACCATTGTTGGGTTCCCCTATTTTAGCATGCATATTTTTCTCCCCAGCAATCTTATCCAGTGCAGGTGGAGGGGTGATGGGAGACTCAGAAGCGGAGCTGAGGCACCTTGCAGCGCCGCGCTGAGATTCGACCAGCCGCGCCTGGTCGGAGCGGGAGGTGGCTGACTTGTGTTGGGTGTGCTGCTGGGTATACAACTCACGCAACCACATCCCCAAAGCAACGCTAAAGGCACCGCTGAACCAAACCACCCCAAGACCCGCCCTTGTCAAGATCTAAGACAGCCTAACCAAAACCGCCTGGCTGGTCGCGTCCTTGGTAAGGGGCAGAAAGAATCCTCTTTCTGTGCTATACCAACCCCTTGTGTGGCGCCTGGCTTGCGTTGAATTGCATATTCAAAGGAGCGGAGGTGCACTTTGCGTACTGCGCTCGTACTGAGTAGTTGCGACGTTCGAGCTGGAGCCGCGGCATTTAGTCGCTATTTTGTGCTACTAGTACTTGTGAAGAACTGCTTTCCCGTTATGCATCTGCTCCGCAACAAGATTCGTGCCGTGGCGTTACATACCCCGAAACAGATTCCTAGCCTTGTATCGGGCTTCTCGACGTCGATGTCACGTTTGGTCAAGAAGTTCTGCATCCAACAAGGACTCAGCTGGGTTGGTCTGGGTCACATTTCCGTGAACAGCTTTTGAGAAACAACAAGTTGTAGGCAAAACAGACCTGGTGTCATTTCTCTGCACAGGCCGCAGGGACCCACACAAGGTCTGATCCTTTCAATATCACTTAGTATTTATGCTGAGGTTGTGCGGCGCGGATCAGCTGCTTATCAACGATGCTTGGTGCGAAGGCGTGTCGGCAGCCTGGGGCTTAGAAGCCTTTTTCACGCTTGACACATGGCCCTTATGTGTTTTCCGAGTCGGTTCTTGAAGCCGGCAGGCTGTGTGCTTTTTGAAGTCCGGGTGAGTCCAGCTTTTTGAAGTAAGGGCTCTTGCACATCCTCGGCCTGCTGTGCCCCACGTACCAAGTGTGCAGTGGCGGCTTTGGGGCTTTGCGGCCCCAACAAGGCGGGGCTGAGATACTTCTCAGTGCTAGCAATATTTGATCCGGCAGGCTGCAGGTCAGCGTTCGTATTTGATCGGATGAGTTCAACGAAGAATGGGTGTTGCAGGCTCCATTGCCGTTTTTGTAGGCGCGCTTGCCACCAAAGCATGTCTTTCCAGGGTCTCTGAGAGAACCGGCTTTCTGCTGATGGGGAACACTAAAGAAGCCAAACATGTTCAGTAACGCCAAGGAGCAGAATGAGAGTCATGCTGTAAATCCACCAACATTGCAAAGAATGCTCAATACTTACGTCAACCTTTGAGATGTTTCCGCTGAAGCTGGGGAAATAAGACTTGGTTTGCTTGCCTAGGCGTTGGAACCGCGCCAGCACTGCTCCGGCCTTGATGCCTCAAGCTGCAAGGCAGGAAAGCCGCGGATGCACGGTTGGGGTTAGGCACGTTGAGCATGAAACGAGATGTCGGACGCGAATTTGGTGGGAGACTGGTACTTGTACAGTGTTGACTATTCAAGTACTTGTGGTGGAAGACTTTAAGTGCTGTTCACCATGGCTGCTGAGACTTCTTTCAATTCACCATAATAAACGACGAAAGGCCCAGACTGGACAGGTGCTCACGAGCTTTGGCTCGTAGTAAACGATGCCCTCGTTGCATGCCAGGAGGAGGACTGCTGCAAGCCGTTGCCATCTTGCTCCTCCCTAGACAACGCATCCATTTGCGACGACGACTCTGCACCTTGCCTTGCACGAGGCCACACCCAAAGTTGCGAGGAAGCTGTTATGTGGCAATTTGGAAATGGCACTCTATTCAGCACCGGGTGTAAACAGACAGCAGCCAGCCTTTGCAGACACGCAGATTATGATGCCCAACCGATGTCGTAGCATTCTTGGCTTGTCTGGAAAGCTTCCTAATAAGTGCATCAATCATTATCAGTGTTTAGGCAGGCTTCTTTTGTGTGCGTCTCCATGATGCTGCGCTCACAAGGTCTTTGCAGCTGGCAACGTGTGTGTAGGAGGCGTTTGCAATGCAGATGCTACTTGGCTGAAGATGTGGGGCATGTTGAACCGAGGCTCACCGTCAGTTGCAAGCTCCGGAGGGCTTTGCCACCATGCATGCCTGATATTCGATAAGCTTAGACCAGTCCCCGTTTGTACACGTCTCAAGGCCTGCTGCCTGCCAAGAGCCTCCTGCCTTGCCGCTGAGAACGCAGCTCGACATATTCAGCGAGCTGGAAGTTGTTGAGACGTTGCAGTAGGCTCTTCTCAGTCGTGCGGTCAGGAGCACTCAGGTGCCGACGAACAGCTAGCATGTACTGGCATTGTAGAGATGCAAGCCAAGCGCTGCAGGAGTCTTGAATGGCCACCAGGAATAGCACAGGGGTGTTGGCTTACAAAGAGGATGCAACAAAGCAGAGGCTTGGGTCATTGACAGAGGACCTTGCCTTGCTTGCGCCAAGGACATCGACTGTTCAGTGGGCTCCTCGTGACTTGACTTGAGCGTGGTCGGCCTGCCGCTATATTCTGAACCCTGAATCTGGTAGACTGCGCAGCAAGCAAGGCCTTCTTTTAAGCTGTGAATCTGAAGGTATTCAAAGCGTCAAAGTTACTTTGCGGGCTCGTCTCTGCAACTAGCTTAAGCTCTTTTTGTGTGCCCAGGTTCACTCCCAAGGCTCGCTGCCCGAATGCCACCGTGGCCTCCTGCAGCGAAGGAGTCTCTTGAAACCCGAAACGGATTGCGGAAACCGATGAAACCTGAAGTTTCGGATGGTTTCGGATGGTTGGGTTTGGGGTCTCTGAAACTTGGTCCTTGGGGCTTCTGCCCCCGTCCTCGGTGCGCAAAGAGGAACCTGCTGCGCTCCGCTGGCTACGTGCGGTGCTCGCTTCAATGCCAGCAACTGTGCCGTGGCATGCAAGGGCCTTGTGGCAAGCCCTCGAGCCCAATTGCAGCCCTTAGAAAAAATCATCAAGCCAGGAAGCCAGTGCTCTTTTTCTTTCTTTCTCCTTCTTGAAAGTTGCCGCTGTTGCAGCAGATTTGGAAGCCACGTACTCGAATTCGAATGCAGCACGCAAGGCGCGTGCTTTACTCCGAGGTGACAGCACCACTGTCTTCGCTGCAGAGCCTTTTTGTGAGCAAGACTGCACCAAGAGCGGCTTGTCTAAGTTGCGAAATTTTATCACATGGAGAGCTGGATGGATGCTCAAACGACCATCCCTGTGTGACACTGGACATGAATAAATGCTTGTTCCACCGCAATTGCTGGGAAACATGTGGGTGTCAAATATGGGGTTCCACAAATTTGGGGATTGTTTTCTTTTGGTTTCCCTTTAAACCAACCCCAAACGGGTACTGAGTCTCAAGCTCTCAGGTGAGTGCTGCCTCCCGAAGGAGAAGTGCTCTGGTCTGGCTGAGAGCCCTTGCGTCGCCGCGTTCGAGGAGTTTGCGGGGCGCCAAGTTCTTGGGGCGAGTTCGCGGAGAGTCGTGTTCAGACAACATATTAGGCTGTGGGTCAACACCCATGGTAGCATTTTGGGGTAGGTGCAACACCCATTCTAGTCTATTTTAGTGGGGATTGGGATGTTCACTGGGGGTGCGGGGTTTTGACCCATGGCCATATGTGTGCAGTGAGTGAATCTGAGCTGAGTGATGTTAGTCTTGATCACTTTAGTTAGTGGCGCGGTGCGGCTGCCCTCTAGACTCTCTCTAAGCAATCATCAAGAGACTGAATGAGTGGCCCTTCTGCATGCTGTTGGGTGATGAGGTGCCTGAAAACTACTGCTCGGGCAGCGAGACGAAGTCGTGTGAGCGCAAGGACTGCTGTGTTTCTAAGTGAGCTCGGCTTTTAGCAAGGTCGTTGCTCCATGTTAGCAATTATGGAAAGCAGCTAAAGTGGCTGCAGGTTAGGAATAGCTTTTGCCAGACTGCGTTGCATGCTGCTCTGGCACAAAAGGCCGCAGCTTGCTTGTCCGGGGTGGCTGGACGTTGTCCTTTGTTCTTCTTTATCAATACGTAGCACGCACATGCATTCAGTTTCTTCGGTTTCTCGTTTCTTGTAAAGTGCTTGATTCATTGACCCATCAATGATATTGAGACTTGACGCAGTATGCATGACTTGGCATGCCCTTGACCTGTGTGCCTTTCACTCATTTAAGAATCGAGTGCTGTGCTCTGACATCAAATATGGTTGATGAGTATCACGTCTCGCTGAAAGATGGTCCTGACTCTCGCAAGGTTGGCTGTATACAGCGCCCATGCAGAAGGTTGACAACACATTGTTGCGTCTAGTTGTCTATTCACCGAGCCTTTGTTCGCTCGGCCCGGTTCATGTGCGCATCCGTAGAATGGATTTTAGATGGCTTGCAGAAATAGAGAGAGCGAGAGAGAGAGAGGACTCAAGCAGCCGATTCAGAGAGTCAATTTGGATCTTTCGCAATGAGGCCAGCTTGCCGCCACTGAGCTTCTGAATGCTGGAGCCTGAAATTCAGGCAGTAGCTTCACCGCTAGACTCCTGGCCTTTGTTGAGAACTGCACCTGGTCGGCTGCAAAGCAAATGTGTCCAGCTGCCATGAAGCCAACCGTGATGTTGGACAATTTCCACAGCCGCGACCGTTCCGAGGCAAACTTGGAAGTGGTCAGAGCCTTTGTAAGCGGATATCCCGAGTCCTCAGAAGCGATGAGAGTACACCTGGCGTTGCCAATTCACACGGTTCGCCGGTGAAACCATTGGGCGCCAGCCCTCAGGTCTCCAGAGCGGAATGCAACCCACGCGGGGTTTTCGAGCATCGCTTGGACGGGCCTGAGGCACGTGTGCAGAAATGCTGAGAGTGGGGGCTTGCTGTGCTAGAGAGAAGCTTGTGATTTGTCTAGGTATACTGCTCCATGTTTCTCCTGCTGCAAACTCGCACGCTGTAGCACGCCGCCTGCTATGTATGTCGCAAGGTCAGCGTGCTGCGTGCAACAGCTCCTGGCTACTGTCCTAGCTTTTGCAAGGCGCTAATTGGGGTGGGAGGATGTTTTTGAAGTATGAGCGCAGGTTCTCTGCAGCTGGGGATGCTCAGGCAAAATCTTATTTGTATCCTGTCAAGCCTCGCATTCGCTTTCCAGTACCAGTTGAGGCAGAAAAGGATTCCCTCAAGGATTGGATTCCAGCAGAGTGAATCTCCGAATGTTGCACGTACCTGGGGTATATGCGAAAGACAGCGGACAAGAGATCCCATCTTGAAGCAGCTCCACTTTCTCAAGAGCGGACCTTGCGCGTTTCATGCGGCAGCAGGTCAGCACTGCGGGCCTACAGCATGCAGCTGTGAAGCTTGCGTGACAGCCTCGGAGCCGGAGATTAGTCTCGGCTACTGTATCTGATTGCAGTGCTTAACAGGGAGTATGTTTGCTTGAGTTTGCTTCAGCAGTCTGCTGCCATCGCTTTGCAAACTCAAGACGGACGTCGCTGGAAACTATTCTCCGCCCTTGCGGATTGAGAGCTTGGAGTGGCAATCCTGAGCATAGAAGCGGATTGACAGGCCCTTCACTATCCAAGCCAAGCTGAAGGCCGAGGTGCCATGTGGGAAAGATGCATTTAGCTTGAGCAATGACTGGGCGTTGAGGAATCAAGCCAACACCTCATCAGGAAGGGAACGTTAGGTGTAACCAGGTGAGGGTTGATCAAAAAGGTCTGTTGCATGGGACCATTGGGGAAAGCCCCGCAACAGTGACTTTCCCACATGGCCATGGTTCAAAACCAATGGTACCATTTTGGGGTAGGTGCGCCACCCATTTTGGTCTATTTTAGTGGAGATTGGGATGTTCACTGGGGGTATGGGGTTTTGACCCAGGGCCACATGAGAGAGAACTTTTTTTGCGGGGAATTTGGGCGCCGACCGGAATATTGATCAACCTTCCAGCAACTGGGGCAATGCCAGGCAGGCCGTGAGGCCAGGCTGGTGAGGGAGGGCGGTGCCAGCTTCGAGGTGCCAGCGCGGGGGCTTAAACAGCGGTTCTGGAATCATTCTTTTGTGGAGTGTGTTTTTTGGGATGGTCTTAAAGGGAACACGAATGGACAACTTTATTCCCCAAACAGTGTGTACACTGAGGGGGTTCTTACGGCTTACGGTAAGAGTAAAGGCCGGGTGCTAGATCGAGGTGCCCGGGCTGGCCGCGAGCATTTTGCGTGTTATTTACAACAAAGTCGTGGTTGTATGATGTCGAAGTGCGTTTCGACTACGCAGGCTCGCACAAACTGAGGCCCGCGAGTTTGTCCGGGAGCACTTTGCGTAGTATTTGCCGCACAATCGTGATGTTGCATGATGTTGAAGTGCGTTTCGACTGCGCAGGCTCGCACAAAATGAGGCCCCCCGAGTTTGCCGGGAGCAGTTTGCGTGGTATTTACCGCTAACTCGTGATGTTGCGTGATGTCAAAGTGCGTTTCGACTGCGCAGGCTCGCAGAAAATGAGGCCCGCGAGTTTGGCCGGGAGCATTCCGCGTGGTATTTGCTGCAAAATCGTGATGTTTCGATAGCGCAGGCTTGCAGAAAATCAGGCCCACGAGTGTGGCCGGGAGCAAATTGCTTGGTGTTTAGCGCAACATCGTGCTGTCGTATGACGTCCGAGTGCGTTTCGACTGCGCAGGCTCGCAGAAACTGAGGCCTGCGAGTCTGGCCGCGAGCATTGCGTGGTAGTTGCCGCAAAATCGTGATGCGGTATGATGTCGAAGTGCGTTTCGGCAACACTCCGCAGGACGAAGTTCGTGTAAGTTTAGTGTTGGGTTTGTTGGTGGGTGGAAGAGTTTGCTGCGGGACATAGGTACAGAAATTACAGTGATGCTAATGATTCCCCAGCCACGCGCTTGCGTTGCGACTTGTTGTTGCGACTTGCTTGTCAATCTAGGGCCATTGGCAGTGCGTCGCGTGCCTGCGCGGCCTGGAAACCTCCATTTCCATGTTTCACGCATGAAGATGCTGGACACAACCCACTCCATGCCGTTGTCGGTATACAATTGCCCGCAGTAAGCCCATGTTTTTCCAGCCCGTGGCGGCCGGGTCAGCTTGATTGTTTACGCCCGTCACTGCTTGGGGTCTTTTGCATTTTTTTTTGGGGGCTTCCCCCGATCAAAGGGTCATGTGGCACGACAACGGCGTGGTGTTTGAGTCGCCAAAACGAAATCAGGCCAGAATTCGCTTCCTGACTCAATTTTGCTGTGATGGTTTTCTACCTTTTATCCCAAAAAACAATGGTTTGCCGACTGAAGATCGGCATTTGGTCCAACCGTGCAACATGTTTTGGGCCACAGCCATGCGGCATCTCTGCGTTCCTTCCCACGTGCTCGTGCGGGAATGGGCCTCAGGTTGGTCTGCTGCAGAAGGATGGCAAGGACTTCAGTGGCCTTGTGTCCTTCGCGGCCGCGGTTGAGATGAAGGCCTGACACCTCCATTGCTTTGCCACCAACGTTTGACGCGGAACGCATGGCCTATTTTCACTCCTCGGCTTGTCTGGTTGTCAAGGCGACAGTCAAAACTTGCCGGGCTGTTGTGGAATGCGTCTCCGCTGGTTCCTTGTGCTCCAGGACCTGGATGAGCTCTTGCCCTGGAGCTTGGGTCTTGCCGTCCGGCAGCTCAGGGAATGGAAAGGAAACCAACTCGACGGGTGGATGGCACACCCTTAAGTTGAATGGCCAATGGCATTGAGTGACATGCCTCCCATATGAAGCAGGGTTGGTTGATTTGCACTTGCTTTCTTTGAGGCCGCTTTTGTTTTTGAAGACTTGATGCCTGCTTCAGGCGGATGGTGATATTGTTATGCTGCAGCCTGCTGGAGAGCCCAGATGTGTCGCAAAGGAAGCAAGAGTTGGCCACGTCGTGACCGAGACAGGGGGGGGGGAAGGGGGGACATATCATCCAGTTGTTTGCCGGAGCATTGCAGCAAATATGGCGGCAAACAGGCAGTTTGTATGTTGGCAAGCATGTGCTAAAGCCTTGAAGCGGAAGTCATACTTGCACGAACTTGAGACCCGAAAAAGCTCCGAAGTTCATACATTGGTGACGCACGACATATTTGTGCTTGATCTTCGATTGCAGGTCCTTGCGGTTTACGCGCAGCTTCATGATGATTTGGACGGCAAGCCCCTGCAGTTGAAAGGAGGAGCACATGGCCGGCCAGAATGACATTTTGGCTTCTTGCTTTCGTCGCATATTGAAGGTGCAGAGGTAAAGCGGTTTTGACATCCATTTGTTCATGTAGTTGCTGGTCAGGATTTGACAGATTCGTGTCTTCCCAGCCATCCAGACCGAATCAAACGGAATGTCCTCATGCAAGAGCGGCACAATGCATTGTCAAATATCTGGCCAGGAGCTCGCATCCAGGTGCGAGGGACTGTTGCATGCAGCCTGTTGCCACATGGCTGTGGGGGGAAGTCCCTGCAAGGCGTCCTTGTTCGATGTGGTTGTTCGTGTCAAATGTGCATGTGGCAAAGCTGCAAAGCTTGAGCTGGAGGCCGGCTTTAGTGGCAAAGTCGAGCTCCCCAAACGAAGTCCGGCTCTTTGGCAGCTGGACTCGTGCCGAGCTCAGTCATACCGACGCTCGCATCATTTGGGTGTGTGTTTTGTTTGGAGGGCTTCCTTTTTACGGTTGCTTTGAAGGGAAACCAAAGGCACACCACCCATTTCGGGGCCCAACTCCGAGGCAGTGCCTTTGGGAGGAGCTGCTGCTGCCTGTGGCAGTGGATGACCTCGAGGTGCCGCTGCCGGGCGCCTCGAATCGGCTGGGAGGGCTGGGATCACGAGGACTTGGTTTCCTTTTGGGGTGTGGCTGTTGTTTTGGGGTTTTGGGGATCCCCTAGAAAGGCTTCGGTTGTCCTCTTGGTTTCACCTGAAAACTGCCAACATCCAGAAAAGGGGTACCCTCAAGAAAGACAGACCCTTTGGTTTCCCTTTGGTGGTTCAACATGAATTTATATACAACCGCCCAGATTCTTTGACCGAGCTCCGACACGGGCACTCTACGGGCTGGTCACACTCTCAAGTGACCATACTGGGTTTCGCGACTTTCTAAGGTGCAGTCGCCCCCAAGAGGCGTTGTTTATCGGCAACTAATGCAAACACAAACCTGTGACACCTCCGGCCAAGTACTCCAAGTGAAACGCTCTAAAAAAGCAGGCAACTGCTGGGTGGATCGACATCATGAACCTTAAGAATTGCTCACTGTTACCTTGCCATTCTTGGGGGCTGCCGCAATGTCACAAAGGTTGCTAAGAAGTTAATTGAGAGGCTTGTGCTTTTCTTGGATCTCTCGCGCGGTCTCATTCCCAATGAGTGGTTGCAGTAGGACAGCCGCCAGCCTGGGCCGTAGTCGAAGCTGCAAAGAAAACCCGCCTGTGATACAAAAGTCAGCAACGTTGCGCAAAGGCCCGCTGAAAAGCGCAAGCCGATTGAACTGGGTTTCTCGACTTGTTGCAAGCTGAAAGCCAGCTTTGGATGTCGCGACATTGCACAAAGGCACAACGGCGCGAAACTACGCCAAAACGGCATGTTTGCAAAGTGCTGACACTTGTGAGATGTTGTTAGGTGGGCAGCGTGATCTCAAGCGTCTCGTATTCTCATTGCTTCTCTTTGCACCAAGGCCACTGTTTGAGCAGCAGGAGAAGCCAGAGGCGCATTGCTGCGCACGGTCGATATTGATGGCAAAGCGCTGCAGCAAATCCTTTTTGCACACCGATGCTTTTTCCGCCTACTTGGTTTCCATGCCACAAAGCGACAGTGCTAAGGTTGAAACACATTCTCGTCGATTACAGTTTAGCCTAAGACTGGAGCTTTGTTGCTTGAGGGCTTTGGGAAGCTTCTTCTGTGGGCTCAGTGTTTGGGCGCTTGCGTGGCGTTGTGATTGAATGCGCCATGTATTTGCAGTGGTTTCTGTGCTTTTATGTGCAAGCCAGGCGATGACAGTGGCGGCTCTGTTTGCGCAGCGCCGGCAGGACAGATTTGGAATCTCGCAAAGTTGATTCAACAAGACAGAAGATGCCCAATCATCAATGTGCAACTTTTTTGTTGCACGCCCCTGATGCCACTTGCCAATATGTTTGCCAGGTGTGGTGCGGAAGGTGGAACAAAGCATACATGTTCTCTGCCTTAAATGTTCGTGCAGCAGCAGAAGGCTGCTGCTAATCTGAAACAAATAAACCTACCTCATACAGGTCTTGTGTATGATCACCGAAAAAGAAGTGGTGATGGACACGGGAACATTGTGCAAAGATGAGGGAGACTTAGGGAAGCCTTGGAGATGCTCCGCAACGAGCATATTTTGCAGGATGAAGTGGTGCTCAATCTCTCAGACACTGCTGAGGCCACAAAGTGACACCTTGATCGCACCATGGGCCGCGCCCAGAGGAAGTTAGCTAACCCATTCGGGCGTTTTATATGCTTGCTTGTCCTGGTCAAATGATTTGTGCCAGTGCTGTCAAATACGTGTTGCAGCTTTAGAGCTCAGGCATGTATCCGCATGGAGTCAGCACAGAGCGCAAGAGAGCACGGCCATGGCACTGACAGACGGGGCTGACTTGTTTGGTGACAACTTACAGGTGTAGAACATGATGCGGGCGGCATGGCTTGCAGCCTTCCTTGCCTCGCAGCTGGTTCCTGGTCATGACAAGACTTGGATTGAGTCTGAAATCCATGGCTCCATCCAATGACTGAGAAGGGGCCTTTCATTGACTCAGAGACGATATGAGCCTGGATGGACCTTTAGAATCTGAGTCTCGCCTCTCTGCAAAAATAATCACGAGGCTGATGCACTGGTGCAGGGTCCATGGTCCGCAACAGCACTGCCGCCACTTGAGCGCGCCAGGAGGCATGCGGGTCTGCATTTTTTGGAGGGGATCAGGAAGTGTTTGGAATTGCCGTGGAGGTTTGCACAAGTCGATAATTGCAAGCAGGTGCTCCCACAAGTCCGAAGTGTTAGTGTCTGCCAGTATCCGCTTTGGCTTGGACGTATTCTGAGATACTGCGGTAACCCTGGACATTTTAGCTCCTACGTCCTTAGAATGGCATCCTTGACGGAATGACGGCCAGCAATGTCCTCACGACTTCGAGCTAATTTGTTTCATATGTTGTTTGCGATTTTCCAACATTTTGCACTGAATGCACACTTGAAGGGCATGAGGATGGCCCCACTGGCATTCGATAATGGCCACCAGCACGCCAGCCACTGCCTCCAGGCTGATGTCGAATATGACTCTCTCCGAGAAGCTTTTGATGCTCCACGGCCCTGCCGGCGGGAAGACGGAGTGCTCTGAGAGCCCCAGATGTGCTTATGCGCGGGCACCCGGTTGCGCTTGACATGCGCAAGCTGTCTTTTGAGGGCAAGCTGTCATCTCACGCAATGTGTAGGCGAGTTTTGGCATCGCTGGGACGCTATAAGGGTCGCTACCGCAGTGGGCCTGGGCTTCCGAATGCTCAGGTCGGCAATGTGGCCCCGGTTGAGCGCCTCGGCATCCCGCCGATCAACATGATGCTTGCCGGCAGTGGCTGAGACTCCTTGAAGTGACAACACTTCTCTTTGTCTGTGGCCTGCAGCGATGACGTGGGCAGATGGGCAGATGCATTGGTGTTTGTGATGACACTGGTTTTCCCGGAGTGGCGAGTATTCTGCACGTGTCAACTCAGGAATGATGGTCCGCAAGGCTTTCGGGCACCAGAAGCGCTTAAAGGCACGCTGACCCAGACATGTGCTTCTCCCAGTTTGTTTTTTGGCTTGCTGCCCTCCACATTGATAGCATCGTCCCAACCTGATATTCGCCAGTTTCTAGCTGGCAAGTTTCGTTCATAGGTTAGATCCAGAGGCTTCCGACACTCTGGTTTCACTTTTTGTTTTTTGGTTTGTGCAGTGCAGAGACATGTTTGCCAGTTGTTTGTTTGGTGAGGCGTGCCTGGGATTTGTTTCCCATGAAGGGTGGGCTACTTTGATTGGTTTGCCACTTTGCAAGGCCAGTCCCCTGCAAGCGCGCAGGCACCAGCACAGCCTGGCCGGCCGGCCTCACCATGGCGGCCTCCTGGGATGAAGCTGCGGTCCTGGAGAGCAGGGATTCGGGCGGGCTTGGAAGAGGTTCGGCGGAGCAAGTCTTCAAATGTTAAACGAGCGGATTTGCTCAGCTGCTGGAGTTGCTTTCTGATGTGCGGAGTATTGGGATGTGGTTAATCGTTCTTTTGACGGGGACGGTGCGGGGTAGGCGTGGGTAGTGGCCAAGGGTTTTTGCTATCATGAATTTAGCTCTGGCAACATTGCGGGTCATGTTGTCCTGGCGGTACTTGTCAGGAGTGGGGCCAGGGCATGGGCAAAGAGTTCTATGACAAGGGCTCCAACATCCAGCTGGGCCCAGGCCTGAATGTGGCCCGGATTCCCTTGACGCTAGGCTCATGTCAAACACAAAGGGCTCAAAGAGATTGGACGGCTCTGACTGGAATTTTGCTGGGTGTCTTGGTATGACTTAACTTGTCTCGCGGGTGCCTGTGAAGTGTTGAGAAGCCGAGGAATGGACGGAATTTTGAGTATCTTTCCGGTGCAGAGCTCAATTTCCTCCCTTGTACCGTATTTTGTGTGAGTGAGGCAGACGCAGCAAAACCCCTTGGCTTGAGCGCCCGTGTGCGTGACCCGTTGCAGAGGAGAGGACCCGTACCTTGGGTTCCGTTTGGTGCAGCCCGTCGTCAAGGGCATCCAGTCGCAGAAAGTGGCCGCAAATGCGAAGCACTTCATCCTCAACAACCAGGAGACGAATCGGGGTGCAGTGACACGTCCAAAAATTCAGCTTCAGATGCGGGAATGAAACCGCCATCAACATGGCGTCAATTTGCTTCTTCAGCCATGGCTGATTTTTTGCTGCAGGTAAGTGAAGAGGCGGATGAGCGAACGCGCTTCGAAGCTTGGCCCATTTGTATCTTCACCAACCAATTCCCAAAAGGTCTTCGCAAGTTGGACCGGCAACCTCAAGCCCTTGAGCTCCTGTGATGTCTTTAGCACTCACAAGAGTTCGAAGCGAAAGCTGCAAGCCGCAGAGGAACTCTATTACCCTCCCTTCGAGGGTGCCATTGCAGCCGGCGTCGCCTCGGTGATGTGCACCCCGGCGGCCTGTGTGTGACAAAGGTCGAGGAGTCGAGGCGCGCGATTTCTTCGATCCAGATATGGGATGGCCCATGGCCCAACCATGGCGCCTTTTGACGGGAGCCAGGCCCAACAGGCTAGAGCAATCTCAACATCCAAGGCAGCTACAACAAGGTCAACGGAGTGTGGAGCTGCGAGAACCCCACCACGCTGGGAGAGCTCCGGCAGTTGGGCTTCCAAGGACCGGAGTCTGATTTGCATGGACCAAAACTGAAGGAGCAAAAGGAACCAATAGAACCAATGGAACCAATGGAACCAATCAGATTCAACGGTTCGCTGACAATACACTCGGTTTTCATCGCGTCACACCTGCCGCAGGCTTTGTGATGTCCGACTGGGGTGCCACGCACTCCACTTCTATCGCTGCAGGCTTGGACGTAGAGATGCCTGGAGCCTTGGACAGAAGGTTTTGACGCTACCTTTGCAGTTGCGTGCCTTACTCCCAGCTGGTTTGGAGGGGTTGAGCGCCTGACTGCTCCTTTCCATGGCCTTTCGGCTAGGAGCAGATTGGATGAATGCGGATCTCCTGCAAGATGCTCTGCGGAGTGGTGCGGTGAAGGCGACCTGACTTTGGACGTTAGACTGCCTCAAGTCGAGTGGAAAAGGTCACTGTATGCACCTAGGAGCAGGATGTGGATGAGTCTGTCACACGCATCCTGACCGGCCTCTTTGCCACCGGAGCTTTTGCCTTAGATTTCTGCGAAAGGCGTGGACGAGGCATGAGGCCGTCCAAGATAATTGCGGCGTTCCCAACATGAAGGCCCTTTGAGTGTCTTAGAAGGTTGTGTGATTGCCAGCGAAGCAGCCGGCGATTGCTGGAGAAACGTATCCACGGCTTGTTGTCGGCATGCTTTTCAATGCTACTTAAAAGTTGCTTTTCTTCCAAATTTCAGAGTCCTCGCGTTAGTTGACGTTCTCACGCTTTTTTGAGCACGTGTTCCCTGAGCTGAGGTGATGGACGAGCCGCTGAGCGCCTGGGACTGGCAGAAGCGGCTGAACAACGTCACCACCGCCGCCTCCGCCGCGTCCGCCCGGAAGCTGTCGGCCCTGGGCACGGTGCTGCTGCGCAACGAGGGCCGCTCGCCTCGGAAGCTTCAAGGTGGCCAGAACCGGTGTGCCGGAAGGGGCTGGTCCCTTGCATTTGGGTATGGGTCAAAATTGAACTACCACGGGACCGCAGGTTTTAGTCCTTGTTTCCATGTACCAGGGTTTCATTTTGGGCACGTATTTTGACCCACAGCAATTTTAAAGCGGAATGTCAGACCTTTTTGTGCGCTATGCGGCTATGAATTCACCGAGGTTTGCTGCTGCCATTGTCTCTGACTGCCGGCAAAACTATTGCCGTCATTGGCTTGGCAGATTCGAGCCTTGGCAGCGGACAAGAACTGGCCGCAGGCGTGTTCGAGGAAGTGCGTTCCCCTGAAAGTTAGCATGATGTCCTTTTGACTTTTGCCCACAGGTCAGAGGAGCACAAGTCATGATCTGCTGGTAGGATCAGATGCCTTTGCTTTCCAACTCGCCAGGAAAGCCATCTACCACGCGGGCGGCTCTGGAAGTGTGGAGCCTTCCTACGTATCCACACCACTGCAAGGTGGGGCAGCAAGTCAAGCACAACCCAGTGCTGCATTCAGTAGTTTTCAGTTGTTGTCTAGTCCGCATGAGCTTCAAAGATCCGTACCCGGCTTGAAGGTTGTTTTTGAGAAGTGGTCGGAAAGGTATGGAAAACCTAAGCCATTTGCATCGCTTGGCCGCTCTTGGCCATGGAGGCATCCGGGACGCTGCCGGAGCCGATGTGACGGTGCGCTTCGACGACGGCAGCGACGCGAACCGCGCGGCTCTGCTGGCGCAGAGCTGCGACGTGGCGCTCGTCTTCGTGGGCACCCTGTCAGGCTGGGTTGAGCCAGGGAGAAATGGAGTTTCTCTTGGACTCGAACGGAGAAAAGGCCTTTAACTTCAGAGACCCTCTTTGCGAACTATGCTCTTACATGCAGGCGAAGGCAGTGACCGCGGATCCCTGTCGCTGGATGTGGGGGTGGCCTGGGCTCAGCAGAACGAGGCAGGACCCAAGCTGTGCCCACGCCGTTCCTTCGTCAAGAGGCTTTGCCAGTAAGCCGCGCGTGTCAACCCCTCTGTACTTGGGCGTTGGAGTTGGTCCGTTGGTTCAGCCCAAGGGAAGCCACCCAATTTTT